TTAAGCAACCAATAATCACAAACCAGATTGTAAGGTTGAAGCTTCTGGGAAGTTTACGGGAAGATCAACAGAATTTGAAGTTTTTTTCCAGAAAGATTTGGCAGGTAGAAAGACACTACAGATGCTAAAACCAATCAAACCCATTTCATGTATACTAAAATCAGTTCCCGGTTTTATTCTTAAAAGTTTGAACCAGACTTATTTTTCTGTATGGCATCTATGGCTCAGACTATCACCTCATACTTTGCCAAAATAATAATTATTTTAAGTTGGGTTGTATATAGTGTAAGGGTGTGGGGGTTTGTGTAGTATAATTTTAGTATTATTTATATAGTATTTTTATATTTTGAATAACCTTTTATTTTTATATTTTCAGTTTTAATTTTATTTTTTGTTTAAGCTTTAGAAAATGTGTTATGTGCTTCTGTCATTTTTATAATTTTTTTATATTTTTAATTTAGCTTTATTTTTTATTTCAGTCATTTAGTAATTTTAGGCTGCAAGATAAATTGTATTTTAATCAGGATCATGATTTCTGCTCGTCTTGATTTAAGCATAATCGTTTGCGATATTTGCCTGCTAGTTATTTATCTTGAAGGTGTTTCACTTTAATTTTCCATTTGCATTATCTTGCATTGGTAACAAGCCTCCACAATCTTTCATGGATCTGGTTGCCAGATGTCAACAGTTTAAATTCCCCAATCAGTGCTTTTCTCATGAATGAACATCTTCTGCTCTGTGGTCTACTTAAACTTCCCAACCTGGCAACCACACACGCACTCTCTCCCTATACTAAAGTGCTGATGAGCTGAAAACACTGGCAAACATTAAAGTTTAGCGTTCTCCATTCTGCTCAAATAAAAGTGTAATACAGCCAGTCTGTTTCCTTTCGGTCTGTTGTTTGCCGAGACTAAATCTGCTAGCAAACCATGCAAGTTGTCGTTCTCTTGATTTGTACCGATTTGAGCAAAATGATCCTGATTAACAGTGCAACCATCATCATGCAGCCCTAATTACGCATTCTATTTCAGATACTTGGCAAGGCGACATTTCTAATTTTATATTTTGATTGAAAAACTAGTGCTTTTTCATGGAGGTCAATAAAACCAACTCTGGGTCCAAGCAGAGACCCTCACCTGCAGGGTACATCACACAGGATCCGGTCATAAAACAGGACGTCCTTCTTCCCGTCCTGATCTATGTGCAGACGTGGAATGCTAGAGGCGTCATGGTTGACCACCATAATACACGGACTGTTCAATCTCTTGGCCTGGTGGACCAGCAGGTAACAGCGCTTGTTATCCACATCATTGGCAATTACAAAACCCTCTGAAGACACAGAAGAGATGGAGGATAACTATGAGATATGATCATCTTAAATGAAAAGCCATACTAATGAGTAACTGTTTACCAGGGAAAGGCACGTCCATGTCAGAGTGAAGCATCTCGATTAGTTGAGCAGTCTTCGATCCTGGAGCTGCACACATGTCCAGAATCTAGTCAGACAAGCCAGAAAGATGATGGAGATGAGACCTCACAATTATAAAGATTCCCCAAGTGCGGAAAACACACAACACAGAAAAACATTCAGCTGTTGAGATGATGTACCTTATGTTGAGGCTCAATTTTCAGTAGAAGAGGAGGAATCATACTGACTGCTTCCTGTCTGCTAATATTCCCCTGATTGAGGAAATTGGATTAAAAGAATGGCTGGTCAAAAATTATATTTGCATTTATTAAAAAAACAAAGAGGTTCCACAGGCATTTACTGATTTTTATTTACCGATTCCGTTTCGCTGACCAAGAACTGGTGGAATTTCTCCAGGAGTGGAGATTTGCGCAGAATCTTTCTGCTCAGGTTAGTGTGCCATGCCAGTTCATCAGGATACCTATAACAGCATGTACAATGTTTTACAGATTTCCAAGGACATTCAAAACTAATTTAAAAGAAAGACACATAAGCAAATAACTTTGTATTCATCTTACCAACTTAAGGGCTGAGGAGCCTCGATCTTCTGCCCATCCACCTCAAGATCTTGAACCTCTTTGAAGTATTTCTCTTTAAGAGTATGAAGGATTTCTTTGGCATGACTGATTACAGGGGTTGAAAAAGGGACAAATAACTGTAAAATTGTTGTATACACTTTATATTTCCAACTTCTATTGTGTTACTACCTGAAATAAAGTGCTGTTTTTTATTATATATATTTTCTCTTTTTTTGTTACTGTTATTCATACGTAAAAGAGATGTGACTACAACATTGTTGTATTACACTCATATTTTGTTACATCTCAATAAACAGATTGTTCAAAAAAAAAAGTACAATTGTTAGTGCTGTCAAACAATTAATCGCATCCAAAATAAAAGTTTTGTTTACATAATGTGTGTACTGTGTATATTTATAATGTATATATAAATACAAACACATGCATGCATATATTTAAGAAAAATATGTTGTTTATATATTAAATATATTTATATTTTTAAACAAAATATATATTAACAAAAACTTATTTTGGATGCGATTAAACATTTGACAGAATTGTAGGGGCGTAACAATATATACTGTCATCGCAATACAAAAATGCAGCAATATGTATTGTGGACCAAAAATATGTACTGTGTGTATGCTCCATCTAAAATGAAAGTTAAAGTGTAAACTTAGCATCAAATATGGTAAACCCAGAAAGTCAGACATTTGAGCTTCCATGTTTATTAATTATTATTAATAAACTTTCAAACTTTTTAAACCTATGTAGTCAGGTACAGAGTGCATGTGTATCTAAAATAATTCTGTTTTTAGCTAAGCAGAACAATGAATATTTCTATTCTGGTGTCATCATCGCACTCTGCATGAGAGAGAAGGATCAAGCCCAATCTTATATAATAAAGTCCAGCCCTGATATAATAGCAAATTTAGCATTTTAATGAACAGTACTTTCTTTTAACTGGTTATCATATGTGCAGTGTTATTTAATATTGTTTATACTCCATTACAGTATAGATTAATATTTAAAATTAAATCAGGTTCAATTTCAGTAACTTTAATGTGCCTTTGTCATTTTTTAAATATTTCTAAGTAGCTTTAACTTATTTTTATTCGAGTTTTAGTCATTTTAGTACTTCAACTTATTTTATTGCAGTCTCTTGCCAAAACAACATTGCACTTTTTTTCCATCTAATATTTAGCTAACAAAATTAGAGCATTTTCATGGAGGTCGATAAAAACAACTTAAGTTGCATCTCTGGATCATATAAATGAACGGTACTTTTGTCATGTCTTATAAGTAATAATTTAAACAAAGCTTTAAAAAAAAAAATGTAAGTATATTATGATATGATACGATACGATACGATACTGATATATCAAACAGAATCGTGACAGGAGTATATTGTCACTTATGAAATTACAATGTCCTCTCAACTATCCATGAAAGTTGTCAAGCAATATGGCTTGAAAGCAGCACAGCTGACGGTCAGTGGTAAATGATACGATTCTGAGAGCAGTAAATAGAATTTAACTAGTATGTTTCAACCATTTAAGTCCTAATTCAAACGGTGTGGCAGTCAAATCAATCAGTTTGTCATTCAATTACAACTTTGGACCTGCAGAAAACATCAGGTCACCTCTTGTATCCAGTGATGCGTATTGTAGCTGGCAGTGGCTCCCTCATGGTCTCCATGAACTCCTCAAACTCTCCCTCGGGAACAATCTTCAGCTCCGTGTAGTAATGCTCAAAGAGTTTGTTTTCCTTGATGATCTCAGAGTATCCAGCTCCCCAGCCCTGCCAAAAGATCCCATGTGAGGGACTATTCCCACCTACCTGCATGCCATTTACCATGAGATTACATTGAAACTGTTTTATATTATACAGTCACAATGATATAACTATATAATGAGTGTAATCACCGTGCAACATAAAATATATTCAGAAATGCATCTGCAGTGTTGGCACTGGGCAGCAAAGTAAGAAGCTAGAGCAGTTAGCAAACTCACAGCATCATCTCTGTTTCTTTTCCCCTCTGGTTTTCCATCTCTGTCCTGCTGAGCTCTTTGTCTGTTTCTGTTTTTCCTGCCCATGTTGGACACGCATATAACTCTGGATATAAACCTGCGAGGCGCTTTGGCTGAACTACTTCTTCTTCTTCTTCTGGTGTTTTATGGCGGTTTGGCAAACCAGCGAAAGAGGTGCATTACCGCCACCTACTGATCTGGAGTGTGGAGTGTGCATAAATTTGGAAGAAAGAAATACAGAAGGGAAAGATCTACTATACTCCATTCATTATTTCCATTCCCGCCTTCATCCGCGTCAAACACTTCATCCTCCATTTCCGGATCACTTCCGGAATCTACGCCACTTCCTACCATGCACTCAGGTCACAGATCAGCTGTTGCCAAACCGCCCTAACCTCCCTTTGGCTGAACTGCGCTTCTCAGCTCCTTCTGTACTCACGTGTTCGTGACGCAATCTAAACAAGCGCACATTCGACTGAAAGACCCCTTCCTTGGTGCCCGCCTTATTGCCTGACTTTTATGCAGAAGCTTTTCTTTTTCTACCTTTAAACCTTTAATCCTAATTAATTCACGGTCAGAAGAATAAAACACGACTTACCATGGTACAACTATAAAAATAACGCAAATCAAAATATGCGTTTTCACCGTGGATGTTGTTCTGCATGTCAATATTTCATTCTGCATTTGACTAAGTTTTTGAAAAAATATCAAATTAGGAAAGCAACAGTAAAAGATCAATAAACAATAAAATATACATCTCTTTTATAGTTACTAATAGGAGCCGCTTATGCAGCACTAGCTTTTAAAAACTTGCATATATTAAGGCGTGTTTTGTACATGCCCCGCCCACCATCTTTCTTGATTGGCGAAAGCCATGTTGTGATGGGCGGGTCTTCCAGGTTTCTCCGCGGCGCCTGTTTGTTTTGTGTACGAGTTACAAAACATTACCTGAACCTTTCTTCTACTTAAGTCGTATTAGCAATTATGGACGCTATTCTGAAGACATTATTCTCCTCGGAGGAGCAAGAAGTGTACGCTTTGGATTGTTTATCGTACTTGATTATGGTTATGGCATTCATAACTTTTGTGACTTTACTCTTTGAGCACGTGCCCTATGGCAGATATGCATCCAGCAGGTATGGATTCCCTGTGAATGTTCAGTTCGCCTGGTTTGTTCAGTAGCTGCCGGCTCTTCTGGTGCCTTGAGTTTGGTGCTATGGAGTCTATGTGCAAAGATAATGCACCGGCCCAACCAGCTACTTCTGCTCATGTTCATTTTCCATTATTTGCAAAGGTATGATTTTTCCTTGTTATACAACATAAAAAATGAAAAAAAAAAAAAAATCTATGTGGGTGTGTGTGGGTGTGTGTATATATATTTATAATTTTTTTTTTTTTTTTTTCTTCATTACAATTTTTGTCCTGGCCTTTGTCTTCTGCATTTATAATGGGTACCTGCAGGCAAGATACCTGAGTCACTATGCAGATTACCCACCTGGTTGGGTTACACATCCCTATTTCATCACAGGTAGGTGCTAGTGAGTAAATATTCAGTGTATAAGTATCATTTCCATCATTTCTGCTTCTGCTTGGCCTAATGGTTAGAGAGTCGGACTCGCAGGGATTGTAGGTGGGGGGAGTGAATGTACAGCGCTCTCTCCCACCTTCAATACCACGACTGAGGTACCCTTGAGCAAGGCACCGAACCCCCAACTGCTCCCCGGGCGCCGCAGCAAAAATGGCTGCCCACTGCTCCGGGTGTGTGTTCACTGCTGTGTGTGTGCACTTTGGATGGGTTAAATGCAGAGCACTAATTCCAAGTATGGGTCACCATACTTGGCCACATGTCACGTCACTTTCACACTTTTGTCACGTCACTTATCTTCTTATATATAAGATAGAATATAGTGTTGTTTCTAATACTTTTAAGAGCTGATGCTGGAATTCATCCCTCACCACCAGGGCACCATCAGCACATGACAGAACACAATGCATTCACTCTACTGGTCAAGGAAGAGACATAAATAGTTACTTGTCAGGGTTCTTGTGATTCTCACATTCCAGATCATTTCTCTAGACCTTACAGTAGGTCACCTGACTGGTTACTGTAGCATTGACCACTGCAGGGTATAGATATTGGTAATCTCTCTGAACTCTGGCTGACCTGTCATGGTTGACCGAACATTCGCTGCCATTCCCAGAATTCCTGATGTATTCCCTAGAGGCCTTTGTAGCAATCATTTTGTTACAGTATACATTGTATACTATGTTTTATTTTTAAATAAATAAATACTTTTAATTCAGCAAAGACACATTATGACAGTTAAAACATTTATGATGTTACAAAAGATTTGTATTTCAAATAAATGCTGTTCTTTTGAAGTTTGTATTAATCAAAAAATCCTTTAAAAAAATGTATCATGGCTTTCAAAAAATATGAAGCAGCACAACTGTTTTCAATGCTGATAATAATAAGAAATGTTCTTGAGCAGCAAATCAGCATATTAGAATGATATCTGAAGGATCATGTGACACTGAAGACTGGAGTAATGATGCTGAAAATTCAGCTTTGCATCACAGGAATAAATTACATTTTAAAATATATTCAAATCGAGTTATTTTACATTTTAAAAAATTCGAATATTTTACAATATGACTTTTTTTTACTGTATTTTGCCTTGGTGAGCATATGATATTTTTTTTTCATATTGTAAATGTATTATGTTTTTTCAGGGTCTTGTATGTGGTTCCTGGGATGCATCATTAATATTCACTCTGACTATATTCTCAGGTACCTCCGTAAGCCTGGAGAGACAGGCTATAAGATACCTAGAGGTAAGACAGCGATTATCAGACTGACAGCACCATTTATGATTTGGAAATGTGTTAGAGTGGGAAATGTGGCCTAAAATCGTGCACTGAAATGGACTAAAATGTTAGTGCACAGCGTCTTTACCATGTTTCACATAAAACGATCACAAAATTTGAGTAACAGCATCATGCAGTTTTACATTTTACAAACAGGCTTTTGATTTGACCACAATATATGAATATTCTAAATTTAAAAATGATCATAAAATTTGGTGCCAATATACATACATATTCAAGAATATTCAGAACAGAACACAAATCATTTGAACCACAGCACACACCGCTCAGATAGGTGGTCAGTACTAAGGCGTCCTCTTCAGTGCTGGTTTGAGTGTTAATGCAATGCAAAAAAAATCTGTTTCCCTTTGAATCTGGCTTTGCCTCTGAAAGAAAATAAAAATAGATGCCCTTTTTGTTCGTGACTCATTGCCTTAGCGACTTGTCAGGACCACCCTGCTCCAGAGATCCTAATAGTTTGTGACATTCATTCTATCTCTTTTCCCATACAGTCAGTGTCCATGCAGGATGCAAATGCAATCATCTTTTACTTCACTTACTTTTTTCTTTATTTTTTAAGGACAAGTGTTTCAAAGCTGCCATCACAACTTTACAGGGTATTATCAAAAAAATTACAAAATAAATTAAATTAAAAAAAAAAAAATCACAATATGCATAATATACTGTATGTGAGTCGGTAAGCCTTCAACAAAAATTAATGAAGTCTGCTTGCATTGTTTAGCCAAAACAAATGGATTTAAAATGAATCCAATATGTCAAAGTTGTTTAAATCCAAAGGCTCGTTCTTTTATTTGATGTATAAGTGATGACTGACATGATGAATCAGACATGCTTTTTCCTGACATATAAAAAAAGACAACGTGCTGGTCAGATGGTTTCACACTTAATAAGACTCATGTGATGCGATTTCTCTGCTTTGAAACAGGATTGAAATAGTTTTTTATTGTTTAGGAAACAGATCGTTTGTGTGATGTCTTCCGATCAAATGTCTCTACTATTTTCTGTTTGTAGGGGGCATGTATGAGTATGTATCAGGAGCAAACTTCTTTGGGGAGATTGTGGAGTGGACTGGATTTGCTCTGGCTGGTCACTCGGTCCATAGTGCAGCTTTTGCTCTCTTCACTCTCATTGTGCTGTCCAGCAGAGGAATGGCCCACCACAAGTAAGACATTACCGTATGAAACAATGCATTCTTGCCCAAGGTGATTGCAATTATCAAAAAAAAAACGTTTGTATGCTTTCAATTCTCATGTCTGAGTCATAATTAATTCAAGAATCACATTAAATAATAATTATAACATAAATAAGTGAAAACAAATATGAAGCCTATTAGGACTATTTGCATTGTGACATTTACATTTTCCCCACAAATATTTCTGTTTTTTAATGATTTTTTTAAAAATACAAATTATATAGACAAAAAGCAAAAACCAAAATGACAAAAACACAACAAAATTACTGAAACATTGACTAAAGTCAAAATGAATACAAAATAAAAACTAATGCAAAATATTAATATATACTATAATATCTCGGAGAAACTAAAATAACACTGATTTCAACAACTATATAAATATTAAACCACTTTTTATTGAATTAAAAGAAAGCATTACTATTTTCTTTTGAATTATTTCTCTCTTTTTTTTAGAGTGAAATGTGATTTCGACATGTTCTAGACAGATTCACCCATACACGTTTTTTGTTGTATGATGACATCAGTATCCGGGATTGTTTTGTAATGTGTTATTTCATTTTTACAGGTGGTATCTCACAAAATTTGAAGACTATCCTAAATCAAGGAAAGCTTTAATACCGTTTGTGCTCTGATCCTGTGGTAAGCCCATATGCCACACTTCCACAGAAACAATATTATCATCTTTTGCCCATTATAATTGCACAACAAATATTTTATTAATGCTTCATATTTTACGGTTTTCAAGGGAAGTGCTATCATAATGTACAGAGACTGGCGCATCGAGCATTACACAATAACAATAACTCAATTCTACAAGACAAATAATTTATTTATATTATATAGCAGCACGCACATTTATGAAGTGCAAAAACAGCATTACTATAAGAGATCATACAGTGTCTGAGATGAGATGAGATACACAAGGCAGGCAGCTGCTGCCATAATCCAGACGTTCCCTATTAACCACCTCTTCTTCAAGACAGTAACAAAATATGGACTTTCTGATCGTGATGGATACAAGGCTGTCCAAGCTCAGAAAACGTGAGGAAACGAATGATTTATCTGCTGAAGAGAGAGAACTTTTAACCATGTACTGCAAGTGTGACAATAGCAGAACCATTAATCATGTTATACACACATCTGTTCTAAAATATTCAGCCCTTCGTGGGGAATTTGCCATTGTGGCAGTTTGGACTGAACATTTCTGAAACTTCCTGTTTAATGAAAAGCTATGCTGTACATGTGTGTTAAAATTAAGTCTCTTTATATGTTATGGAAATAGATTTCAATTTAAAAATTGTATTATGATTATTGATTAATGTGCCAATCTTTAACCCCCAAAAGTGGACTGTTTAGAAGGTTTAAGAAATTAAATTGGATGAATTTCAACAGGGGCATAACAGTGAATGGATTTATTATTGGATGTCATCATTTGTCATTACCATAAAGCCTCCAGTCGATTCCATCTTAACAAACTAAACACACCTTCTGCCAAACACTTTTCCCCCTGACGTTTACCAAGAACTTTCAGTCAACAGATGGCAGGGTCAGTACATGAAGCTGTCAAAATGAAGTATTAAGATCAATAACCAGAAGTATCCCAAGAGCGAGTGCTGCTCTCAAAGAAAAAGAAACGCATGCCATGCCTTAAAAGGACAGATATAGTTATTTTTATGAAACATTTTTGTTTTGCTTTTATACTTCATTGTAAGATACATACTAATTGTAGAAATCATGCAAATCATGGTAGTATTACCATAATATCTTTTCTACATTGAATGTACAACAGCATTATGTCACAACTTCAACTCAATCCAAATAGCTACAGCTGTTTTTGTTTATAAGTTATGCTTGCAACATCTTCATTTACCATCGCTGACATGTTTTGACATGCTCTCATAATACCTTCAGGTGTAATGTATGAAGTATGGCGAGAGTTGTGTGTTGTATGTCAGTGCTGTCTGCAGTGAAAGTGGTTGTGTACATTTACGCTGGAATGTGGAAGGTTATATAAATTGCTTAGAAACATCCGGTTGTCTGTAGTGTAATACTGTGAAGTGATTTATACAGTTGTGAAAGTATTTTATCCATCTTTTTTAATAGTTAAGCTCTTGTTTTGTTTTGTTTTGTTTTATAATATGCCTCAGATATACACTGTAGGCCAAAAGTTTGGAATAATTAAGATTTTTTTATGTTCTTGAAAAAAGTATTTTATGTCTTGGTGACACTTTTTTCCAAGTCACCAGTGTACTTCAGCTTTCATTTATTGACATTAAAGTTAAAAAAATCCTTCTAGTTGATTCCCCTCAGATGTTCGTGGTCAATCTGGAGCTGTTGGAGGTGTCACGTCAGGCAGTGAGCAATCTTGTCTGACCGTTCTTTGGAGAAATAACCCCAGCCTCAAGCAAAGCAATGATGAAATCCCCCTGCAAACCACATTGCATGCATACATAACCTTTTGCAACACCGAGCAACCCCCTCACAAGGGCTTTAGGCTCTGAGTGATGTAGAAGCATGCAAAAGACTGGACACAAAAAAAATGTAACACTCAAGACTAGCAGCATTGACAATCCGCTGTATGAATGAACCATCTCTGCATGTAGTGTGACAGCAATGCACACAGAACGAGATGTGTGTTCTGACCGTGCCAGGCTTCCGCCACATTACACATGCTGCACGTGAGCTGAAGGCAAAGCACTCGTTGCGTACGTGGGAGGAGCTTTCTTCTTCATCGTGTCAGATTATGATTTATTATCATCAACAGAGAATGCATGTTCTTTCCTCGAAAGCAGGATGGCAATGTAACCATAGGGTTCCCTTATTTTCATGAGATTTGCTACTTGCTGATTTGGTTTTTTGGATTAAGATTTTTGTCATTGTTTGCCATAAATAAATTGATTTCGAATTGGAGCATGAATTTGTTTTACTTCCTTGAAATTACTGCACATTTTTCACAGTACAATCAGCATTGCTTCCAGTTTCATATAGCTTCTTTAAGCATTAAAATGTTGATTTGTAGCTTCTTTTGGCACACCACTAAAGCAGCGGGTTGTATAATTGGTAATGGAAAAATATGGAGCTATTTTCTCCAATGTTTCCCCTTCAATAATTGTCAGCAGATACTGTTTGATTGTCTAAAACATTCTGCATCCGTGTAGCATCAAGAAAACAACTTAGTTACATATGTAACTTTTTTCATACACACTTTTCTTTTTAAAAAAAATAATGTATTTGAAATGGAGATTAATCATAATGATTATTTTAATTATTTTGATTTTATTTATTTATTTATTTATTAAAGAAAGAATTTATTAAAAATTAAAAATTCTATGATTTATTAAGAATTTAATAAAGAAATTCAGCAGAAGTACAAAAATAGGATTTGTAGGGAGACCTTCAATTACTCACTTATAGTAGGTGACCTTGGGGTAACAGAGGTTAAGAATCACAAAAGCATTTTTTTTTTTTACTGAAATAAATGCTTTAAATATTTTAGATGCCAAATTATTATTTGCATTTTTCACAATATTTAACTAAGCATATTTTATAATATAATTATATATTTTAATGCATATGTAAGGGTGTGTGTATGTATATGTGTGTGTGTATACAGTATATTGTTTTTTTGTATTGTATGTATGTGCGTGTGTATATAATATATATATATATATATATATATATATATATATATATAAGCACTTAAACTCTATATGGAATGTCATGTGGTTACTTGCAATATTTATAAGCTGTGCCAACAGTACCTGTTCCTTGTTTGTTTGTTGTGGTTTAGGCCTATTTTGTGTTGGTGTCTTAAAAATCTAACTGTTAATATAAAATGGAAGATTCATAAACAGCTTGAATACTCGATTTCTACACATGGGCGGGAATTAAACACCCCTTTCTGCTGACTGGTCAGCCGAAGATCAAACCGTGCCATCATCTGGGGCACGTTCAAGCTCAAACCGGTGTGCACCGTTTTGCTACGGTTTCCGGTTTGAACGACATGTTT